GTGCTAAATCGTGGTCAATGTCATGAGACAAAGTGTATGTGAACTGCTGTATGGAAAGTGTATTTGCGCTGTAAATTTTCACCCAAATCACAATTAAAAAAAAAAAAATGGTGTTTGTGAAATGTCTCAGTGACATCCAGTTGAAGTCTCCACTGAACCTTGTAGGGCTCTTTTTTAAGTGTAATTTTCCAAACCTTTATCCTGGTTGAAAGAATGTTGAATGTTCTCTTTCTACCCTTCCTCTAAGCGTCTGTGAAACTCTAGGAAACAGTGGATCATTGAAAGATAGTGATTGGTATTAATAAGAGACATCTGAATGTTAAAAACAGTGCGTAGTATATAGTATGTGAACCACACATCCTAGAACCAGTGGTTTCTCATCCTTGGTTGCACATTGGAATCACCTGAGGAGCTTTAAGAACTTCTGGTGTCAGGTTCCCACCCCCAGGGAAAAATGGTAACCAAGACTAGGCTAAATGCCAAACACTATGGCAAGTCCTTTACAGAATACAGTCCAGACTGGAAAAGATAAAATAAAAAACCCCTTCATCAGCCCTCTTTGAGCACAGTTGTTCAACCAGGAAAGAATTCACTATTATTCTGCCCGTATTTATCCATTTCATCTGGGGGAATATCATGATTAGTCTGTTAAAGCCTTATTGAAATCCTGATACACTCTGTAGTATGCTCTGACTTACCATCCCAGTAACATTGTCAAAAAAGAAATGGCATTAGTTTATCATATACTTCCAAGATAGCCTTTTTTTTTTCCAAGCTTCTCTCCTGAAAGTGGATTCTGAGTTCATCATTAAAATGTGCTAGCTGCTACATACTTAGTATATATTGGGGCAAAACAAAGCCATCAATCTGAATGCTAGTGATTAGGAGTGCAGTGCCTCTATAGCAAGGGAGAAGGGAGGGCAGAACTCTAAGTTCAGACCTGTTGTCTGCACCAAGAGGCTGCTTCTTCCCCTTTTCCTTGCACTTGACGCTCTACACAAATGTTAATTGTCTTGGGTATTTATTATAGGACCAGGGAAATTCTGGGTATCCTGTATGTCTAGGGAAGAGAATTGAGCAGAATAAGAGCATCTCTAGTAACTGAAAAACAGCAACTAAGGGCCAAACTCTTCTAGCTCACTCCAACCACTGGAACCTGTGTCGTGGATTGGAATGTCTGGGTTTGATGGCGCGCGCTTATTTGGAATTAAAGGCAGACATAAACTTCCTGAGCACCAGAGAAGCAAGCATACTTTGCTAGCACTCAGTCAATATTGTGTTGAATGTATTTCAGGAGGAGCTGGGAGCATTCCCTTCTTTTTCCATAAGCCACTATGGAATAGTAAGGTTTATTGATAGTTTGTTGACACTCCCACTTTGAGGGCAAATCTATGCCTAAATGGAGGGGGAAACTAGGATAACTGCAACTAAAATAATTATAGAGTAGTAACAGGGTTTCTTTTTTAATCAGAAAAAAATATATATTACCTGTCAAAAGATAGTTCTTAAGAATCATGGGCTGTTAGGAATTCAGCATAGGAAAATGGGACTTAGCCATAGGAAAGCTAGCTGCAAGTCTCATTTAGATTGTAATTCAGAAGCAGA